CTCGCTCCCCTGATCTCTCACCAATCGAGCACATGTGGGATGAGACGGATTGGTGCCTTTAACGTCAACCATGTGTTCCACAGACACTCCCGGAACTTTGAAACATGCTCCAGCAGATATGGACAGATATACCATAGGACTTCGTGGGATGCCTGGTCCATTCCATGAGACGAAGATGTGTTGCTTGATACTATTTGATTCATTTTTTTATGTTGCGTTTTTAGGCGACACTTTTTTTATTTCTTGGTTTACGGATTTCAAACTCATTTCAAAAGTGAGGCAGGCCTCTCACATTTTTTTTACCTGAATTTTGTCCTAAAAAGTTAGGTAGGTATGAAAAAAAATATCCTGGCGTAATAAAAGTAAAATAACTCAATTTTTCAAGAACATTTTTTTTATATCCCTGGCACTCAGCTTGTGCAAGGATGGCAACATAACAATATTCATGTCATGGGTGGAAATGCATGAAAGACGCTGCTATTTTGGCAGCATGGGCAACGTTTAACTCTTTCAACACCAGCCAACCAGAAGATTACTGCTGTGACACCAAGTTCCCAGAGACTGTTGTGTGATAGATGAAACCAACATGTATCAAGGAATTATCTGCTGAAATTAACATCTTTGCTACTACATGTTTGGCCATACACTATTTGAAAGGTCTAATTAATCCTATTGTTTATAAATATGAAAGTTATGTGTATTTCATTATTTAAATAATTCATGAACAGCTAAATAAAGTTCGTTTTAAATAAATAATAATGTAAGCTAAAACATTCATAACGTCCAAATTTAGCGCAAATCTAACGATTTTTTCGGCAAATGTAAGAATTCATAAAATCCACTTACCGGTACCTATTTCTTTTTAATTTTCATTTGTTTACGTTGTTGGAACATTATTTTAAAAAGAATTACAAATAATATCTGTCATCACCCATTTCCCGATGATAGTGGCTGTCCGCTCACTAACATGAAGAAATACCTCGGTTTTCAAAGCTTTGTATGAATAACACATACGTCCTGCCATGTCAGTATACATTAAAAAAACTTATATTGTTTCACCGACAAAATCTGCTACAAGGTTCGTGATTGGTCAAATTTAAGCACGTGACCTAAGGCAGCTAATCAAATTACAGCAACGATAATTTTCAGACTTTGGCGAAAGGTTTGGGTAATCTCATGTTATTCTGAACATTTTAGCATGAAATCGTGATCTATATTAAAAATATGGAACTTTATGGATGCATAGAGCTAGGTTACGAGCTGTGACAAAGATTTCTTATGCATATATTTTGGCATTAAGACATCGTGTCCGAGCCGAGAAATCGAGGCGACGAAAGCCAAGATGTCATTTGACTTACGATATGCGATCGCACGAAAAGTTGGAAATAATACTTTTATAGATATATTTTTGATGATTTTATTACTTTGTAAATAAAGACGTTTCAGCGTGTGAAACGTCTTTATTTTGCTATTTGACATGTTCGATGAGGACCCGTTGTCGAAGTGTGTCCGAGAATTTTATTTTCAATAACATTGCGGGAAATAGTGTCAAGTGAATACATTTTTAATCTATAGATAAAAAAATTATAAAATCAAATGGAATACGTATTTCAGACATTGTGAAATGTGATAGATTTAATAAATGAATGATATGACAAGTAGGTTAATATAATTATAAACTATTTTGACGTGACTTGGACGGTCTACCGTGCGGTGTGACTTGTGGCTTTGAACGGCCAACAGTGTTGAAATAGTTAAACTGGTCACCACTGCGCTTTGCTTTGACAAGCTTTGATGGTATTAGAGAAGGTTCCCAGCAAGAAATATCAGAGTGACTTACCTTTGCTTTACGCTTGACGAGGAAAAGAAATCTTTTTTTAATTTGTTTGAACTTTTTGTCGAAAACATCGGCGGTAATAAAAAAAAGGGTAATTTTCATTTTTATTTTTTTTTAACATTTGGACTTTGAAAGAGCGGCGCATCCGTAAACCAAGAAATAAAAAAAATGTCGCCTTACTTGGAGCTTCCAAAATGCAACCGAAAATATTGATAACACCATCAGGCTTCATTACATGCTAAAACTCTTATCAGATCGCAACCAGAGGTGGACATACACGCTATTGATTTGTAAATTGACATTTTGGCATGTTCATGTTTTTTATGAAATCACACATTTTCTGAAGTTAGTATGGCAAATTAAACCATTTGAACACTTACAGGAGTCTTTTATCTGTTGCAAACCGAAATTGTTTCAGATTTGATGAAAAACATAACTTTGCATTAAATCTTATTCAATGTCACAGGAACTTTTGTTGTTCAGTATAGTTTCTGGTCCAGTCTGCCCTAGTATATGGGTCTATTTAGTAATTTGATGGTTGCTGCTGCTTGTGCCGAGAACATCTCGTATGTGTAAAAGACATTGTCATCTGTTTCGTTACTGAGTTCAATAATGATGTCTTGATATTCGTCCAACTCGGCTGAGCGATTGGGGAATTTCTCCAACATTATCTTTTTGAATCTTTCAAATGCTTTGAGGAAGTCTCTGATACCCAACACCTTCTGTAGCCATCTGTCATTTGTTGACTTGATGATTGTTTGTAATTGTCCATCTGCTATGTGAATGCTACGTGGACCACAGTGAACATCATCAGGGATAAGTAATAAAGCCAAGTTAATATCCTTACCCTTGTGAATCTGTTGTTGGAGGTTTGAAGATACTGTCTCCGGTCCCGACAGAGTTTTGGGGTGCAATCACTGCAATGGTTGAGTAGCGGTGGCGGCTTGCTTGACAATGGTGATTGACAGGGTAGACTGCATATTGTGTGGCAGTGAAACTCTCGTGACTGTTGAAATGCTTGAACAGTCGCAACTAAACTCTGCAAGTCTGGTTGTATGGTCAACGCCATGACAATTGGTTATGTCACAGGCAGAGTCCTTCCCAGTACTTCATTTGGAATTTCATTTAGTTCTCTGACATCCCAAATATCCACTGAATTATAAGTGTTCGGAATATAACTTGTCTGACTTGGCTGGTAGCTGAAGTTGGTAGTGTTACGTTTCATGGCACATTCTTGATGTAAAACTGAATGAGAATGAATGTCCTCTTGGCATGGAATTTGGCTGGTGTAAAATTCTGATGTCACGTGTGTTGTGTTCTCGGAGTTCCGCAACATACCAGTTGGCAGGATTATTACAATGTTTATTCGTTACCAAGTCAGGATTTTTGTATCTCTTGTGAACATCCAAACAAAGTCTGCCATCTTGGCTGTTTACATTGATGGCAGCTGCAGTTGTCGAATTGCATTTCCGACGGGGAGCCAAAAATGCTGGTTCCAAGGAGTCACTGTCATGTGATCATCACTTCCTCGTAACTAAGTCGCAATGTTGTTGCGAATACGGAAATGTATGTGAAAAAAACTTAACTTAAATTGATTTAAGAACTGACTTTCACTTTGTGTGAGTTCATTGTAGTATGAACATTCACAGAGTGAGGGCCAAACTGTATGATTGTCAGAGCTTGCAACTTTACACTTTGCACAGAGACAAAGACACACAGACCATGCACACCACACCAATGAGATAGATGCACACCATGCACACAAACCACATGCAGCACAATGCACGCAACAGATACATGCACCACACTCTGGCCACTTTCACTGAACACACACACACACACACACACACACACACACACACACACACACACACACACACATGGAATTGATAGAATTGAAATATATCATCTGCTGCCTAACTAACAGCCATCTGCAATGCCCGAGTCATCACCCCACAGTTCTCTCAGCACTTTGAAAGAGACTATATTTATATTTGGCATGACCACAAACCCAGCAATATCATTCGCAAGTCTTCAACGACTTTGGACACACCTCATCTCGAATTGTTTGAGACTTGCCTCAACAAGCTCCCCGTCCATGTCAGTCCAGTACCAGACCTGCATCCTCTACATGTCCTTGAATTGGCAAGGGATGTTTGTGTGGTCACAACTAGACAGAGAAAAGTGGAGAGCTCAAACTGTGTAGTCATCTTCTTTGAGATTTTTTTCTATTTTGCTTGCAAAAACTTGCACAGTAAAAAACGTTTCATTGGCACTCCTGAATGATGTCACTCCTCTCTGACATCACTAAAACCAATTAACATATGCTCCAATGTACATCATGAGGCAATTGACTCTCTCCATCTCCTTGAACAGAGATGCTCATTTTGGTAGAAGGTGTCTTCACTAGACTGTAGAAGTCATCGTGAATATCTGGTAATTGAGTGAACGGTGAGTCGTGAGTGGTTTAGGAGACAAGGGTAACTTGTCATCCGTCTAAGTCCATTTGCACGATGAATGACTTTGTTGGTGCATGAAGGTCAAGGTTGAATGTGGAATGTTCATGGTGTGTCCATGAACTCTGGGTGTACAGACCTACGGGATGACAACTCAAATCAATAAATGTATCAATTCCATAAATGTATATCCAGTTGGAATAAACAGACAGGTGCTGCCACCTCTACACCACTGGCGATAGATCCATGTAAGATCAGTTGGGATCCATAGCCACCTTGCCTGTAGCCTGTTGTTGACGGTCAACTATGAGTGAGCCACAATCATGTGGGTTAGAAATATATCCCTGCCAGACTGCTGTAGCACGTTGATCCTGTGCATGATGGGACATAACAGTTGCAGACAGTGGTGAAATTAGATTCAAAAGTGCTATGATGACTATTAGCTTCCATAAATCTTTATCAATCTGATCAAATGCTGACAGTTGTGCAGATGATGTTTTAGTTGAGCTGTAATGACTATCATGATATTAACATTTGTGATTGAAACTTAGATGGATGAAACAAGGCTACTTTTCTGTCAAAATAGTTTCTACTCACACACTGCAGATATTCCTGTCATGCCAGTATTATGTTTATCCTTATATCAATAAGAGAGATCAAAATGTTTTGCTTGTTGATATTATATATTTTGTGTACTGAAACCATAGGCATTACAAAGCCCAACGAGAAGATGCAGACACAAAATGGAGCTTGAAAGAGGACTTTGCAGTGGTTTATACAGATGTTGAGGGAGAGCTCATTGTTGGTGGAGTGATTCTTCGACTCTTCATCTCCAATCCAGGATGGGTATTGCGTCGACCAAAGGAGTTCCTGACAGAGCTGCTGGAGAAGTGGACACAGTTAACGGACATGACAAACCCAGACGTGAGTTGATAAGGGCTGTTATACTACATAGCTACAGATAATCTATGTATTTGAGTAAAAAAAACAAAAATATATTCAAAACCTAATTACTTTCAAGTAACTTGCGTACAGAAACACATGCATTAAATGAAAAACTCAAATGTATAAAGACAGCATGCATAATACCTAATGAAGCTTTTTCAGCATTCATACAATGGAGCTTATTTACAATATCCTTTCCGAGTCAAGCCTATATTTTTAGCCGTTACATACTCATGCTACATGATAGTGCTTTCTCTTATTTTGATGATCGCCAATACTTCGCTGTCACGAGCTTGAAATGAATTCCAGACATGTGACTTCCTGTTATAAACACATGTTGGGGGGAAGTGGTGGGTTCCATTCACCATGGAAGAAAATCGATGGCAGCAAACGACACAGAAAAATATGTAGCAAAACAAGAAGCCCATCAAAATGTGGACTTTATTTTGGAGGAAGTTATTTCCATTTGTCCAATTTCTGACTGATTGGTAAATGCTATTTTGACAGAAGTTATTGACAATGTGCACAGAAAGAAAAAAAAATATTGCAGTTGGCTTGGTCCGAGTTGCTGAGCAGAACATTTTCAAAGGTGGTGTTTTTTTACAGTTACTTGTCAGCACCTGCAAGTTTCAATGCAATCCTAATACCACAACATTAATACAGAAATTCTATGCTGCAGTATACAGGGTACTGGCCTACTTGATATACTGAAATACAGTTGAAAGACACCTTTTTCTTAAACAAAAACATAATTTCCTTTTTTTTTAATCTTAAAATGTTTACTCATTTTGGGAGAAAAAAAACCAATAGTGATGAATAGATGAGTGAACAATTATTAGTTACTCAGTGAAAAATGTAGTAACCCAATTAAAATAGAAACCTTTGAGTAAAGAAAACTCCATTGCACAACAAAATGCTATCTGGAGCTCTGATACTATCAGTTTATAACTATTTTTATTATAATAAATTTATAACTATGCATACATGGAGAAGGATATATAAAATGGCAGTGTATAATTATATTTCTGTCAGTAGGTACAAGAGTTCTAAGATGCACTTGTTGCTTGTTGTTTAGAAAACGAAAACTTATTAAACACATTTTCCAGACAATACAGTGATCGAAATTAAAATTATTTCAAGTGTGCCAATGGGCAGAGTTATGCTAAATTTAAGTGTGCCATCACATTTTTAGGTGTGCCACGAAATATATAATTCTTGTGAATACCTTACCTCTATTACATCATAGCCATAAATTCCTCTTATGCTGAGAACCACACTACAAATTTAAATAAATTTTCAACAGATGTCCTCTTCACTGCAAACATATCTAATAGTTGTGAGGGAAACCCTATCCCTCATCAGAGACGCCACCGTGCATGCACAAGGCAGGAATTACCTAACTTCTTTCCTATTTGTCCAGATGACAACAAGGACATTCTTTTGTTACATACATCTGTACACGTGATTGCTGTTCCACACTTACAAGCCACACTAGATCATTGCAAGCTTCACTAAAGACAAGCAGTGAGCGGTTCTACAAGCAGAGAACAGGGGTATAAGATTGCAGAAGGCTCTTGTAAGTAATTAGTCAGAGAATGTGTTGTGGGATGAGGACTTTATCCCCAAAACAGACGCCTGCCTGTCTGTTCAGGCTGTGGGCAATATCAAATCACTGGTTACCCTCACCCTACGTGCCTATCATGCAAGAAAAGCAATTGCACGCAAAAATCAAGGTGCAGTTATTGCGAACCTTTGTCCAAGGGGAAGTTTGAAAAACTTTATAAGGCATGGCTCAATGACCCTGACTATAAAAAGAACACTAGAGCGTCAGCAAAATCTTCATCTTCTTCCTGTAAAAAAGCTACCCTGTGTGTCGCTCATCCCACTCTCCCAATATAGCTAAGGAACCGATGTACCTTTCAGGTTTTAATGTAACCAGTCACGTACATCCGGAAGCATCTGGTAAGGCGGATAATCTAGGCTTGGAAGAAGCAAACGATCTCCCCTCTATGCCACGTTTCCCCTTTAACTTAAATGAGTTCACGGAAAAAATAACCAATTCCATGTCTGTAATGATTGCCAAACGTATGCAATGTCTCATGAAATCTCATATCTAAAAGAATCCATCGCACAACACGAGATTCAAAAGAGATCTTTGCTGAATATGACAGGGCATCCTCACACAGCAGACACGCACACAGTCAAGCTGAATCAGATTATTATGAGGACAGTAGGAGAGTCATAAAAAGACCTCCCTACCTCCCTACCACGCACCACGCACATCATAGGGTAGATCGTGAATCACGGACATCGCATCACAGTGAGCACAGAAATACACACCAGTCATCTTCTAGCCACTATGATAGATGAGCTGATAACAAAACTCGTGCAAATCATGATAGATTTCCCAAGCGTGCTCCATCCCATACCGTCACACAGTCCAGTTATACGGGCGGGGAAAGCGAAGCGGATGTTACGTCACAATCATACAGTTATAGAACACGTGATTCCCGCTCCACTAGCCATACATCAGATGACCGGGATTATTCTACCCCATATTTCCTATCCCCAGCGCAGCCTGAACAGGGGTTGCGGTTCTATCGCTAACACTGGTTCTTCATGCAATGGGGACTCTACTACGGGGGATAATTACAAACCAAATAATTATTCCATTAAAGACATCATTGCAGAACTTTATAATCTGATGCTGGCCTTAAAACCAGATAGCAAAGATAAAACGGCTACCAAACCCTTGTTAGAACATGCTGGGTATGAAGAGCCTGTCAGCAAAACTGAAGAATTTCATACCCTCCCTGTCCATCATACATTGATGACATCATCAAGAAAATCGAAGCATCATTGAACGCTTCATCAGTGCATAATATCAGTGCTGGTATGCCTGCTATTAATAAAAGTGCTTACAAGACACACGATGCCCCTTTAGCACAACAGCCTAGTATTCATGAAGATTTTTATGATCTTGTTAAGAAACCTAACACCAGGATGCACATTGACATGGCCAAAATCAGGGACTTCGACAACATCAATAAACAGATGAATCATATCAGTTCATATATTAACTGGATTGCAGCTGGAATTCACCACATCATCCCCCCGAACAATCAGAGCGAAGGTCTCCCCTTAGACACCCCCATGGAGATGACACTACAGCAGGCCGGGTTTATTCACAGCTCATTGAACCATATGCTGAAGATGCAGGAAGATCTTCAATCAGCACAAGTTTGGATGTCAGCACAGTTCCTGCTCATGCAAAGAAATCATCTGCTACAACAAGTTCATCATATGATTCCAGAGCCGCTAAGAAGATCCATGCTATCACAACCTATTACAGCTCCACAGATATTCAACGGCAGACTGAAGTCAGTGGAAGAAGCCATTGCATAATCAACTAGTCAGAAGTTTCAAGAATCCACAATCTCATTGGCATCCAAGATCCAGAAATGGCCTGCAGATTTCCAGCATCAACAACAGAATCCTAAATCTCGTCATGTGAACTCTGGTCGGGATTCTTTTTGGGCCTCTACACGGAAGGACAGATTGTTTCACTCCAAGAATAAAACTCCAAAGATCACCCCACTTCACAAAGAAGAAGAGGTAGAGGCAGAGGAGGTCTCCGAGGGATATACTGCCGGAAATGACTCAACCAGAGATCTACAGATTCCTTCAGACCCTGCCGACATTACCTGCCCATTGGATAACGATTTAGAACTTCAGAAGATCAAGGCTACAACCACATTGAATCCCGTCGAACTAGCCTAGCTCATAGACATGGAGTCAAGACTGCCCAAGTTCAGCACTCCCCCTATTCCGGGACCAGTCGGAGGTCGTCTTATGCAGTAAGCAGACAACTGGGAAGCCATCACAGATGACTCATGTCTACTCGAAGTAGTAAGAAAAGGTTACTTCACTTCTTAAAACGCCCAAGACTAGTTATCCATCCTACTGGACCTTGATTCCATCTATCAGGATGACAATTAATTGCAGCAGATGTGGCCATACGCAAGTTACTTGCAAAGAGAGCTATCAGCATCTTAAAAGAGTCACGGATTCTACTCCCCAGTATTCCTGGTACCAAAGAAGAATTCTTCAGAGATGTGATTAATCATAGATCTAAAAGGTCTGGACAAAGATTATCTGGGAAAACCTCCCAAGTTCCAGATGGAATCTATCAAGAAGTTGTTGAAGAATACCTTAAGACAAGCAGATATGATGATAAGCATAGATCTCCAGTATGCCTATCTTCACGTCCCCACCCATCCAAGTCATCGTCGATATCTGTGCTTCGCAGTCAACGGTCAGAGATACCAGTTCAGAGTACTGCCATTCGGGATATCCATCGCCCCATGGTTATTCACCAGGATCACCAATCCCATCATCGGATTCGCCCATCTAAAGCTTTTGGTTACACAGATATATAGACGACTTCCTATCGGCTGATCAGGACAAGTCGCAAATCACATTAAAATACAATATGCCTTATTCAGCTACTAATGCACTTAGGTTTCCTGGTTCACCCTCAAAAATCAGAATTGGTACCCACACAGGACATCACTTACATAGGCGAAAGATTTCTACTCAACACGGGCATAGTAGCCCCTCCAGAGGACAGATATTCAAAGTAAAAGACATGATATCAAGTGCACTCGACAAGATCATCAAATCAAGATGCTGGTGGATGTCTTGCCTAGGCACACTCACCTCCATCCAAGATCTAACCTACAGAGGCAGACTACAGTTACGTCCCCTGCAAAATTGGATGAACACCACCAAAGACCTAGAGCTAGAAACATTAATTCAACCCCCACCAGTTCGAATCTCAGAACTACATTGGTGGTTAACTCGTCAGAACGTCATGCCTGGTATTCCACTCTCATATCCCCCCCTCTACATCAACTCTACATAGATGCGTCAGGAGAGGGTTGGGGTGCCCATATGGACGATATTACAATACAGGGAAA